ACTTAACGGCTCTCCCACTCCAAAACCACATCAGTGAAATTAATGAAATCTCTTCCTGGGCTATCTTTGCTTTGCATAACACAGTGAACTGTACAAAGTTAGACAGTGCCCACAACATTTAAGCCACACAATTCTGCAGAGCTTCAATACACCTGAGAGAAATTATCAACTCCATTTCAATCACAGCTGAACAGACGGATAAAAGTCCCTGCATTATAAACCATTTAACACACATAGCAACTAAATCCTTACAAACACAAATGGACAAACAAGTTTTTGGTAACAGTTCCTCAAGATCTACAACACTTCATTAAAATAAATAACAGGCACATAGACACCAGGCTGAAATGATCATGGTTAAAAAATGTTCTTTGTTAATCAATTGCTCATCATTTTAAAGCCTAATTAGAAAGTTCAAGACAGAAAAAAGTACAACTTTGTTTAAACTGAGAATATGCTGTACTCCAAAACTTACAGTAAGAACATATTCATGTCAGAATTAACTGGACTTTTAGAAGAGGAAAACACATCTATCAATTGTTGACATTTACTTTAAACACTTCTTAGTGATAAATGTTTGTTTCTTATTCCATTAAATGAGAAAGATGTGTAATCCATGCTAGGGGAAAACTGTTAAAAAAAAAAAAAAAGGACAACAAACAAGGAAAGTTCCCTATATTTTTAAACACAGGTTTCCACAGATTAAAGAAAAAGCATATAGTGCCTTAGGATAACACAGCAAAAACATTAATTTTCATTATATTTACATTGTTTTCATCTACCAAAACCTTTCCGAAAACCAGTCTCTACCCAAATTCTTAGTCACACAGTAAAATGTTTTGTTTATAAGTTTGACAGGTCATGCTGTAACTCATGTTTGGTGGTTTCTTTCATCTAGGAAACATTTCTGGTAAAACAGACATGCTCAGAGAATAACTACTACACAAAAGACTCCTAAAAACATGGGAACAGCTGGGTACTTCAAATTTCTAAAAGCTACACTTCAGAAAGAAATAATTTCTATGAAAACACAAAGGTATACCTCAGAGAAAATAAAGGTTAACCAGATTTGAGATTATTTAGTTAAGTGCCCTGTGGATAAGGACAGTTTCACAACTGTCAGAGGAGCTCACCAAAAGCTCTTCCAAATCAGAACTTCTTAGCTAAGATTATAACTAAGATAATTATACAACAAAAAGATCTCTGGTTTGAAACAATGACTCTTAGTTAAAGTGAGGACCTTTTTAAACATCATTAAATGTGCTGCGTCAAAAATACCAGGAGGGGATTTTTTCCTAAATCAGAAAAATAAAGAGAAAAGAGATGGGTGATGATTAAGTCAATTAGCCTCGCAGACAGCACTTTACAAGTAACATTTTAGCATTGCTCAAGCAGTTTAAATTTCCAGAATAGAGCAGCTTGGACACAGTTTGGTTTGGTAGGTTGTACGCTTGCTGTTTTAAGACCTTTCTGCTTTTTCACTTCTACTCAAATGTGAGTTCATTACCGGGTCACACCTCGGCTTTTTTATTCAGTACCTTGTTTCAGTATGGTAAAAAAAGGTTTATATTTTTTACTTTGGATTTAAATGAAGGCTCCGTTTCAGATCTCCAGAAACTGAAGATTCAAAGTTAATCAGTTTTAAGTTGATGTCCCTTCTCCATTTAAACTCCGAAAGGATCAGTGGCATTCAATTCTTTCAAACAGTGTTTCTGGAAGAAGATATCTTCTTAAAAGAGAAGTTTGGTAAAACAGAGTTTTGAGCTTTGAATTTAGTATTAGATTATCCTCCCATTTACAGAAAAGTAATTTTACTTCTAAAGCACGTGGTTATAAACTTACACTACTGTTTATACATCCATACCAACTGCTCTTCTCTAATATCCCCAGAAGATCCACTAGGGCTGCAACAAAGTTAAAGCAGAAAAAACACACTCCAATATACGCATTCAAAACAACAGCAGACTAACCACTTTCGACAGTTATTAATATCTATGGGGTAAAATTACAAGTTAAATGAAAAAACATTATTTCTTAGTTGGCTGAATAAGGACACACTTGATATTTTCTATGCCAAAAATATGACATTAATAAAAATAGTAAGTCACTAGTTAGCCTTCTAATTTGATTTTACACTGATTCAATACTGAACAATTCTATTCTTGCTGAGTTTTATCTTCACTTGTGCATGATTACTTCATGAACACCACTTTTACAACTGCAGTCCACTGAATAAACCAGGTGTTGATATTTCTACTATCATCCCCACACGAAAGGACATTAATTATTTCAAAGTGAAATTTGGAAAAACAAAATCATAAAATTTCACAAAAATTAGACATTCAGTATCTCTAGGTGCTTTCAGTTCATAAATACTACATCTTAAAATCTTTGCAGACCATTAACTGCATCTGTAAAATGGGTAGGCATTTTCAGTTTTATGAAAAGCAAAAGAAAGAAGAAAGTAACTCTTGCTCAATGAAGAGAGAGAACATGCCTTACTGCACATGCAAAAAAAGTAATATACAACGGAAGATTGAGTAAATTCAGTGTTCAGTCGGGGAAAAAAAAAACAACACGAACACACACACTATTCTAGACCATTACTGGAACTAGGAACTGGCCTCCATGCTTCTCTAATTATTTTTCAGGAATAGAAAGGCAGTAACACTACTATTTTTTAAACTACCATATGTGATTAAATGCTCTTTGAAAACAGCCAGCAGAGAGGAAACAATGCCTTTATATAAATCTATTAACTAAATTCTGAAAATATCCACAGGTCTACGCCATATCAGCTAAAGTCAGCTAAAGCCCAACTATAAACACAGTTTAGTTTTGCTTTCCAGACACAAGAGGATAGATGGGAGTCATACTGAAAACCTGTTGTTTAGTCTCAGTCCCTAAGGGCTGAAGTACACTATTCTCAGCCTCTCATATTTTACAATCAATCAAGATTCCTTTGAGCAACTCAAAGTCACTGGAAATTCTTTCACAGACGATGAAAGCAAGCTGACGGGTGCTGTAACCTTTGCATTTTACTGCTGAAGAAAACACATCTGCACAACACATCTATTATTCTTCATCACTTCCTTTATTAATAATTTAATTTCTGTGACATACTGCAGGCTAGTTCGCTTAGCATTCCTCCTGTGCAAGCAGTTCTCTCTCATCTTCACGAGGGCAAGAAGAGGTAGGTGTGGGGCATTACTAATCTGATTCTCAAAGCATTCATCAGTCTCAGAGAGATTTTTAATGGATGAGTGTTCTAAAGGTCTGAAAACAATCAGATCTGAAGACGTTAATGGATTAGCTGTTTCTTCAAAATTTCCATATACAACAATGGCATAAAAGGCCAACATCACATTTGTCTGTGCAAATCTATGCCAAAACACCAAGTCAAAAAGGGCATTAAACAACAAATACCCTCCTAATGTTAGAAACTTGGTTCCTGGCATAGCTGACAGAGCTATATGAAATATTAACGGAATCCACAAAGAGTACGTTTTATATGTATTTTCACACTGAAAGACCAGTACTATCTGCAATCCGATCACTGTCTGAGAGGAACACCTCAGACAATCTCAGTCTCCTTTCACACTCTCCATTGACCCAAAATGAAACAACCTTTGGAAGCAACTCTGTCTCACAACATACAAACAGGATAGAACGTAAAAGCTCTTTCTAATATACGTATGTTATATGAATATCCATAAAAGTTGAAGAATGCTAGGTTCAGACACCTCAGAACAACATTTTCAGAAACAATCTTAGGTGCATGAGACTTTCAGTAGACTGACTCCTGAAGTTTTCTAAGCATCAAATTTTTAAAGCATCTCATTGAATTGTTAGTTCTGAAACCTTTGATTGCCCTCTTAAAGACTCAGTTTCAGGTTACCTTGAATTATTCCTTACCACTAATTGTATCCTAACCTGTTCACAACCAACATGTTTTTATCAATGGCTAGAGATCATGCAGAAGAAACTGACTCACTCCTAAATTAGAGTTCTTCTGTTTCAATGTTAGAGATCAAAACCACAACACATTTACCTCTTAAGTACAAAGGTCACCTCCTAAGTGCATTCTGCTGCAGTAATTTCCTGAAGTAACTTATTCTTCGCTGGTACATGAATGTAAACATGAACTACCACATCCAGAACACTTAAGTAAATATTCAATAAGTATGTTTCCTAAAGTAATTAGCAAAATTATTAAATTGAAGTCTAGAATTCAAATTACACCTGCATTAAAAAAATTGACTGATACTTTCAAACTAATCATAAAACGCAATTTACCATATGTTGTTTTCACCTAAAACTCAGTGTCCCTTATATCGTCTTGTTTGTGATTAAAATCCAGCAACTAACATTCAGTTCAGTATTTCCAACATAAAATACAGTATCTTCATAAGTCTAACCTAAAATTCTTAGATTTCACTACATTTGATTTCTGTGTCCAAGACCTAAAGAATTTTCAGAAAAATCTGGCACTACATACTATCCTGTTAACGTTGTTTTTTATATTAATTTCCTTATAAAAATTGTTTACAGTTGCTAAAATAACTATTCTACATTCATAAGAATTACACAAGTGGACTGTCATAGTAAGTTACAGGAGGAGATGGACTAGTAGATTTTGTTTCCCAGAGAAGGCACTCATTTTCCAGAAACAATATTTCAGTTTTGTGATAGGAAATCCTGCAGGTTGCACGTGTTAATTTAAAGGGTTTAAAATATAGAGCTACACTGCTATAGTGGGGCATACTTTTTAAATTTTACAATTAATTTTAAGTAGCTGTTCTGCTTGCAAAACTAGTAAAAATGAAAAACCAAACAAACAATTCATTCAGATTCATTCACTCCTATCTGATGCTTGCTGTACTGCCTAACAATTCAAGGTTGGACCCATGACATGATCTCTGAAGCTTTCAGTTGAATCTTAGTTCATTCCCCCACCACATTTACTTTGCTCAAGCAGCCTTATAGTCAGATCAGCATACCTTCAGAGTTCAGCGTAATAAGAGTGACATTGTTCCCAATACTTTGGCTTCCTAATTGTCCGCTGTTGGAAACTGAGTCACTGGCCTCAGAGCCACTCTCTCCGTCTTCATTGTGACTGTCGTCATGCCCTGGAACTTTCACCACTATGGTGTTCTGCCTACGTCCAGGAACAGCACTATGGAAAAGAAAAGTACATAACTTTGCGAAAAGACAATCCTTGATCAGGAATAGCATCAGTATAACGGAATTAAAAGCACTAAGTGACAAAATTAAGTGTATTATAAAAGCATACTCCTTTAAACAAGCCTACTCCTGTTTATAACTCAGAGCTATCCAGCAAAATAAAATGGAAGGAAAATAGTGGAAGAAATAAAAAATTTTAGAAGCACACTGTCTAAATCTTCACCAATGGAAAAGTCTAGGCCCAGTGTGCAAAACAAAAAAAAATTTAAATAATTTATAAAAACATTATTTAAGAACATTTTCTACCCAGAATCTCCAGTTCCACTTAATTTAAGAATTTGTACTATGTAAAGTAAATTTAACAAGCCTTCGTGGGCCACTGCATATTCCTTCTTCAGTTGGTTAAATACAGGACCTTGGCATGTTACCAACTGATCGTGCATCCATGCAAAAAACACACAGATATGGGCACTCTTTCTTTCAACTGTCAGCTGTCAACTAACATTGAACTAATCCCAGATCCTCCAAGATGTTCTCTCCTCATCAAGAGTGAAGCATTGCTTGTACCTTTACTGCTCATACGAGGTTTCCCTAGGCCGAACTGTCAGCCTGAAAATACTGAACTACCAGTTCAATGTTTTCCCCCCACTATTACCTAGAACATTCCTCATTTTGCACTTCAAATTGCTGCAGAGACTGATACTGATCCACCAAAGGAGAGAACGAAGGGGGAGGGTTCCCGTAACTGCTACTAACTTGCTAAGGATATTTTCCAGAGAATCCGCTGCTCTGCTCAGTGGCTCTTCCTGCCCAACCATCTTGGCTACAATTGAATTCTGCCGGTCGTTGTTCAGTATTACTGTGGTCTGAGGGACAACACTACAAGACAAAAATCAAAGAGGAAAATGGAATGTAAAGGAGCAAACCTTATAAATAATGCATTAACACAGTCTTAGAGTTTAAACAGTCTACTTAAAAACAGAGACTGCCTCTAAGCCTTGCTCTTTCTCCCCACGTTGCGGTTATGTATCAAATGCTAAAGCTGGTAATCCATCGCATTTGACATCTGTACCATTTCAAGTACTTATATTTTTTCAGAGGACAGATGGCTTCAATGGAATTATATAAAAGTTCATGACCCCTGGCAAAGCGATAAAGAATTCATCAACTCAAGATACACAGGAGGAATTCTGTAAATCACAGCTCTAAAGAGCCACCAAATTCTTGCTTTGAAAAGTCTGAAAGTGAGCATTTTCTGAGATACTACGGCCAACTTACATGGTAACGCACCTTTTCTAGTAGGGTAATTCCCTGTAAAAGTATTTATTGCAAAATTGGGTGATGAGCTTAGTTAAAAAGCATGTATTGGCTTCCAGGGCTGGGGACTTGCGGAGGGCAGGGAGACAAGAGTGGTACTATGGGCATCAGAGCAGAACAGCGACAGACCGTAACTTTAAATAACGACAAGACTAAACTATTTCTTGTGTGCATTTCACATACAAAAAAAAAAAATCTAAACCAAACAACAGAAAAGCATTTAGTCCGTGAGAAACCAGAAAGCCTTCTCTATCACTTATGATGACCATGTAGAAGGAAATAACTAGAGAAGTGTTGCATAGAAAAAATGTACTAAGTCTACACTATAATACCAAAGTAAATATGAAGTAAATAGTTGTCTCCAGCATGCAGCTTATCATTTAATTTTGTTTCAGAGATTATTAACACTGTTCCCACACCATTACTCAATATTCTAAGGCATGGTTTTGATATTTGAGACTGTTTCCACTGTGCTCAAGGAGAGAACTTAGAAGAAAATTTGTGTTTTAATGACAGAGAAGGCTTTCTTCTTTCTCTTTGCTTCCCACAGTAAATAGTTTGCTATTGTTTTTACTGGTCCAACATCTCAAACATGACTGATGGTCACTTATTTTTCTTAACTGTATTCCTTGGCTAATTGTTGAAACACAAATTAAACAAATGTGATGACAGCAACTCTGTTTAATTCAGCTGTAACAGAGCGCCTGCTTGCTCAAATATTCATGTGCCTACATAAGACTTAAACATTACAATATTCATCGTTAACACCTAAAGAAAAGATAAGAAACTGTCATAACAGCTAACAAGAAATGGATCTCAACTTTGGCATAGATAAAATGACCACCGGATATTTGGATACAGAAAGCCCCAAGGCCTAATGCCCTGCCTCCCTGTTACAGTAATTGCATCTGTTGCTAGCAACAAATGGGATTCCTCATGGAATGCCAGCGATCTGTTGTACTGCAAACCTTGAGAAGCTCTGGAAGATGTTTGTCTAATCATAGACAAGTACAGATGTACTATAGTTTTTCATGTGTATGCGAAGTTCAAATTGCATTAAGCAATAAAGTGGGGTTTTCTGTTGGTTTTTTTTAGTTGCCATCTAGAGTATAGGGGTTTATGATGCTTTCATAGTCACCTTTTCAAAATCTTTTCCATTATTAAGAGGAAAAAATCTGCACATTTTTAAAAAGGCAATTTCTGTCTATTTTCTCAATGTCAGCACCGAATATTTAAAAAAACCCACACCAAATACTCAATAAAATACCGATACATGGCAATGCAGGCAGGCCCCCCAGTCTAGCAGCAATATGTGTTCTCATTACATTTCCCAAATTGTCCAAATAGCTACACTTGAAGTTTTTACAGGCCAGTTTAAAATGTTCAAGAATTTTACACTTCCTTTTAGACACTGCTCTTTATTACCATCTTTCTTACAATCACTTCTGAATGCCTGTTTAAATGTCACTTACCAAAGCTTATTTTTAATGAACACTCTGAGTAATTAATTTCAGCTGTAGAGATAAATGCAATAAAATTACATTTATAAAGTCCTTAGGATTTTGCTCATATTAAGTTTATATGTGAAAAAGTCTTAGCACTAAAAATTGGCATAAAATAAGGAAGAAGTGGGGAGGTGCCCTTTTTTTTTAAGGAATATTCATTTTTAAGGAAGACAATCTAGAGAGTGAGCTGGATGGCACATAGCTAATTCACACAAATTTAGAATAAGAAAATACTTTTTTTACAACCCACCAGCACAGATTTATCCCCTCTTCAATGCATCAATGTATATTCAAGCTTGCTTACCTCAATGCGTAAACATTTTTTTCAAATTTATCCCTAAACAAACACCCATGAAGACACTGGCTCCTCTCTAAGAATTAACTTTTCCCAGTTAGTGAAGTGGATTATTGACAGGGAAAAAAAAAATCCACCTTTGCAGTTGTTTTGGGAGGAGTCACTAACTAAATATACCGCTTTATTGACACGTATTTTCCTGGCTACACAGCACAAAGCCAAAACCAGACACCACATACACACGGAAAACCTCTGGAACAAGCCACAGCTACCACCAAATTGTCCACCAATTGTTTTACATATGGAAATGAACTGTTATCAAGTTGTAAGGACTCAATCTATAAAGCAGTCTGGAGAGAAAACAGTCACACAGAAAGCACAGTGGTAGAGAACAGCTGAAATCAGCATTTGGAAATTTTCAACACAGCACAACAAATCTACAACCGCCAATTAACTTTTCTCTGTGATTAACCTGCCCCAGTAGGAACTCTACATCTAGTTTGAAAATAACTGAATTAAGTTTCTTGTCTATCACCAGGAATCATTACTGATGGATAAAACATTATTTCTGTGTTCTCTATCTAGTAACACAAAGACTCCATTAAAACTCACTCAATTCTTTTTCAGTCTTAAAGAAGGAATTTCTTATGTTTAATGCTTAACTCCTGAAGAATTATGCTTTCAAAAGCAGTCTGCACAAGGAGGATGAGGTAACCTTTCTATTCAAACATCATACATGTTAACCAAGTAACTACAATCCTGGTTCATGTCCTACAAGGAACAAGAATGGCTACAGAATTTGCTGACAAACTCTGATGAGGCATTATGAGGCAAAAATTTTTCAGAGCTGATGCTGTGAAACTTGAGCCATTACTTATCTGGAAGAAAACGAAAATAACAATTGGGACCAATATAAGAAGGCACCATTATGCTTAAAAAAGAGAGTTTCACAGGATTGTCTTAGACTCCAATTTGTACACAGGAGAAACGGATATCCACAAGATTCCCTGCAGATACAGGAATGTGCTTCCCATTAACTTTCCTGCGAGATGTTCTATTCTTTGGTTTCAGATTTATTTATTTTAAAGAGATAACAATAAGAAATCTGCTGAATATACATGAAATTAAACAAGGAATTCTATGTGAAGTCAAAATATTCGGCCAACCTTACAAAATCCAGAAGAAATCATTAAAATTTATTACAGTCTACTGCATCCTTATACTGGATTATTCTAATTTCTTTTTTCAGTCTGTACATCTCATACTGAAGATGAATCAACTCTAATCATTACTTATGTATTAAAATACAGAAAACAAAAATCACAAAGGAGGAGGAAAGCTTCTGATATTCACTCAGATCCCAAATGAAGCAATTTGTTCTATGAGTGCTGCCAGTACTATACTCGTGGAGAAGATGGAAAGAAAATATTAAGAGGGGTCAGGGGGAGTGCTTCAGAAACCCAGGGTTGTTGCATAGGCTTCAGTACTTTCCATTTGTGTTCACATATTCCTTTCCCCATAAGCATTAGAATTTGGAGAGACTCATTCTGCAATCTGCCTATTCTTGGACACAACTTAGTAAAAAATTTAAAATGCTTGCAACCTACAGATATTATTCTATGTTGGGAAATTTTTGGAAATGCCGTTTACTGAATAATCTGTTAAATTACAGGTGAAAATATTTCTAAAAAAATAAAAATACCAGATAACAGTTTTCAGGCATGCATATTTAGCTTCTGCTGGTTCGGGTTTTTTAAGTATAAAAGGATGTGCTATGTTTTGCACACAAAAATTGCTGCCAAAGGTAATTTTCAGTATGGAAAACGTGCGAGTCATAGATATGATCATTAGTCTTAAGTGTGGGTTTTTCATTGCCAATAACCTGTCAATCACACAGAATGCAGCCAATGACATAAAAGAATGTTGGCAATACCAGGACCATCATCTCCTCCGCTTCCCAGATGATGTTTTCATTTTGAAGAAGAGAAAAATAAAGCAAAAGGAACTAACTGACATTTCTATCTTCCACAAGGTACAGGATCAAAAGCGTTTCTCCAAATGGATGAAAATTACTTCTGGAAAAACTTGGACTGAAATTTTCAGACAAGAAGTTATTCTTCTTGTTTTCCTAGACACACTAATATAGACCAGTTAATGGAATATTTATAGCAGTGCTCAACCAGTTAAAGAAAAGAAAGAAGAGAATCCTCTGTTTAGACCATTTCTGAGCCTCCTTTGCACATGTGAACATCTGCAAATAGGTAAGTAAGAGCTCAGAGACAGAGCTCAGCTTAGAGACATCCAGCTACCCACACCAACTGTCGTTTCCTGTCTATATAATACTTTGTGGTCACTACAATGCCCACACAGTGTGTGTTGCTGATCTGGAAGGCAGGGCTCCTGAGGATATCATTCCCATCTTCCTCTAGTGTATATACTAGAAGGAGATGCAGAAAGAGAAGAGGATCAGGAAGGCAGGAATTGGAGTTGCTGCTGGCAGAGTGCTTGTACTAAAGGTATCCAGCCAAACACAGCCTTAAGGAAAGCAAGTCTGGGGAAAGAGACCTTGAATTCTAGTATTTTTCCCATCTACTGCTGGGAATGAACATGAAGACCTAAATGTATAGCTCATGCACGTGTGAGGGCCTTGGAGGAATATTACAATTAGCTCTACCATGAAGAAAATCTAAGTATTTTTCAAATTATATAGAAAAATACCATTTTAGAAGTGTAGTGTTTTCCTTATTTTTTTTTCCTTTTTT